ATTGAAGTATAATAAATATAACATACCATAACAAAAGCTTGCGGAAAGTCTCCATAGTCAGGAAATTTACTAGGAAATCCAGCAATATTGTAAGCCGTATAAGAAATACTGATATTACTTCCATACTGAGAACTAAAATCACGCACATCTTTCACATACTGTTCACAAAATTTTACACGCCCTACATTTCCACTTATCAATACTGTTTCATCTTTAAACTTGTCATTAGGTATCCACGCCATTTATAATTAATCAGTAAATTTTAACTTCAGAGTTCATTAATGTAGGTTAATTACTTTTATTTTCGTTTCTTTTCCAAGGAAATGTACGGTGCACATAAGAAAACACTTGAGAGTTAAATATTCTTAATAATGAATTGTTCGAAAAATTATAAAAAAATAACTTTTTATATCTTCTACTTTCACTCCCGAACAAAAAATATTTGGTACATGACATACCTTCGATCAAAATTTTTTAGACATGCTAATGCTAATCACTCGTACATCGCAACTTTTTGTATTACAGTAACATAAAATGAACACAAAAATTTTGTACTATATGGTTCCAAAACTTTGTTTTTCTTTATAAAATTCGATTTCTTAAAGTTTGTAATCTTTAATACAAAGATAAAGATGTAAAACAATGTTTTATCACAACAACAATGGCGACACATTTGGTCACGTGACATATCCTTTATTAGCTGCACTCTACAATTGACTGTCTATGTACCCTGCAGTCTAAATTTTAAATCATGCACATTTTTCGGGCCGCGGCTTATTGAGCAGACGAGGATAGGGACAGAAATTGCTTAGCTCTGATTGGCTGACGACTCACTGCTGAAATAGTGCTGCCCTCGCAGTCAAAGCAAAGAGGGAAAATGGTGAGTGAGAAAGTCATGAAATTAGTGGTGCGAAATTTAAAAACTATGGAAGAGAGCCTAACGTATACTACCTGCATACAGGAAAAATAGAGTACATAAAAAATGGTGCCTATTTCCTTTAATTATTAATAATTAAAAAATAGGAGCCTACATTCCTGTCTGACTTTTGTAAAAAAAAATTATTATCCAAATTTTCTCCTATATGTTGTTGAACATTTTGTACATGCACTATCTCATATTATCCAGATAATAAATTAAATTAAACAATAAATAGAAAACATAAAGTACAGTGTATTTAAACAAGTTCTTCCAAAAGTGTTTACTACAGCTATGTGTAAAGGAACACGATTGTAAAAATAAATATCTATAAAATATTAGTGTTGAAAATTAAAGAAAAATTGTTAAGGTTAAGTAAATTATAAAAGAAAGAAAACAATCTTCGTAAAATAATAGGTACTGTATCCCTTTGTACATACCTTTTAATCAATTTTCAGCTGTATACATGTCGTTTTTATAATATATTAAATCTCCTTATTGTGAACTATAATACCATATGAAAATGTTAAAAATATTAAGTATTGAAGCATAATACTTAAATTATTTTATTTCCCAACACCGCACCGTTAGGAGAATATAATGGAAGAGGATGAATATGCATGGACATTGCATAAAATGTATGCGATTAATACCATTATCCGGTGCAATTACTTCATTCAGATTGAATGCTAATGCACTTCGAACGTGTAACGTATTTTCAAATGTATAAAGTTCTCTCAATACCTCGTGCGTCCAAATTAGTTAAAAATTCGATTTGTAATTTTTACAACTGATCAAAAATGAGGTACGCGAGAGGCACAACTAAACCTGTCTTTGTCCAAGTACTGGCAAATACAGTTTTCACCAACCACCAAACTAGTCCCAAAAGTCCAGCTTGTAAGCCTAAGTGTGCTATCATTAATCTAAAAATTTAAAATGCATATGTGCACAATTCATTTGCAATAAAAATACAAGTTTTTCTGTTTTAATTACAATCATACTCACATTTTATCTTTGGAGCGTGCTTTGTTCAACAATTTTGGAGACTCATTGTTCAAATATATTCTGACTCCTTGTTGTAAATTAATGAAGAATTCAAGCCATTCTAATGTTTTAATATCTAGATTGAACAACTGTTTATCTTCTTCTGATAAAGACTTATGTAACTCAATCTGGGAAGGATTATGATACTTCCATTCAGTGAAGATAAATCTTGTTAGACGATCCAGGGAATTGTTAATATTGGTGTGCAATTTTATCAGTCTGAAAATGAATTTCTTTGTTAATTTTATTAAGCATGTTAAATAGAAGACTGAGTTTCAGCTGACATTAAATAACGTTTAAATCATTTAATTTATAGTATTTAACATACATTGGTCTCCCTCCAGCTAATTTAGTTATTGTATCCAAGATATATGCAGGAATAAAATGCACAAATATTGCGGAAAGTCTGAATAAAAATATTGATGATAGCAGTTTCAAGTGTGGATACCACACTGCACTTACTAATGGATACTTATGTAAGATCACATTTAGTTTGTCCTCAATCTCAATCCATTTAAAAGGATTGTTTGTACTACTTGTACAATGATACACTTTCAATTCTCTCCCACTACAATGGAAATATATATTACTAATATGTTTCATATAATATACCAAATTTTAATTCAGTGGCATTATTTAATGGCATTTTACCCATCTCGTTCAACTGCATAGGCTGCAACTATAAGATTGTTTACAACGATATCTACTGGAATATAATCATAGATCAAATCTTTTGCAACTGGTAATCTTCTTATTATGCCTTTGCTAGCAGCCATCAAAAAACCTTGTGGACCATTCTTGGATATTGTCCATCCAGGAATTGGTTCTTTCCATGCCCCAAGAACTGTGTACATATATTGTAAGTTTCCTTGTCACTCAAAAGAAATGATTAACTATGCAAAAATATTCTAGTACATGGTATACATACTCATCGATGGACGTACGATAGCAGCTGGGATGCGTCCATTTTTAACTTCATGTTCAGCTAAGTGTTTTGTGAACGTGTAAGAGTTTGGATGATCCTTTAGTATATTTGGAGTTTCTGTCTTTAAAGTGGAATCATCTAATGATTTGACTAATCTAAGTAATTCATTTACATCGTATGGAGGAGGATAGACAGTCTCTGTTGCTTCAAGTAAATATGAGTTGACATAGGCACTAGAAACATGTACCATTGCCTAAAATATATGAAAGAAGAAGAATTATTTAACTATACAAGCTATGTTACTTAATGTAACAACAGAATCTGTTAAATGAGTCATAAAAGAATGTGTGAATTATTAAGTAAGAGAGAGAGAGAGAGCACAGAGGGACCAACCTTTAAGTTTCTTATTTCCTGGCATAGTTCAACAAGTCTACGCGTTCCTAGCACGTTAGAATTAGTAGTAGATCTCAAATCTGCTTCAAAATCCAACGATGCAGCAGAATGGAAAACAATTTGAACATCTTCAACCAAGGTCAATCTATCCTCGGATGACAGACCCAAATTTTCTTGATCCACATCACCCGCAACAGCTATTAATTTATCAAGTTGATGATCCTTGTTATCTTCCTTTAATTTACTGAATATCTAAAATTTTCAAATAAAACAACATATTGTATCAATCAATTTACATCATCTAAAAATCTGCGAATACACGACAGAGTATATCAAAGAGTTTCAGATGAAAAAATGAATCCGAACTTTTCTAATTATAAGTCTAACAACTTTTTAAACAAGGCTGAAATTACGAACATCCGCAATTTCTGATTACTGTCGAAGTGTCAATGACCGGCGTTAGGTTCTTTTCGTAGCGAAGACCTACTAACCGCTCTAAGTACAGCTAAGCAAGTAAAAGTAAAAGAAACATTCAAGTAACTGTAATATAGCTTCGTTCTTATCGAAATTGAAAATACACGCAACCATTTCAGAAGACATTTATTCGAGACTATGTATCGGAAGCATAGGATATCGTGGAAAAATGTACAACGTCGCATTTACCGAATGAAATTGTAAAATGTCAATAACACCGAGCAAAACTGAATGAACTATGAAAATAGTGAAATACCAAAGCTTCACGAGATTAACGGTTAATTAAACGTTGTTCAATCATACCGGATTTTTCTTGATATCCTCTAATCTCTCCTTTATTTGTTTATTCTTTTTCGGTCGTAATAGTATATAAATGTTCTTCAAGTCCGGGATTGTTCGTAACAATTTCTCGATCAAACAAATCCCCAGGAAACCACTGCCGCCGGTAATAAAGATAGTTTTACCGCTGTAAAATCTCATTACATCCGACACCATTGTAGTTCTTGAATTTTTCACACGATTTCACTTCGAATCTCGTGGTCAGTTAAATATGCTGTTGTTGATCAGGTGCGGTCTCGCTACGTTGTGAAAATGAAATAACCGGAAGCCGAGCACGTAGCGCGTCGCAGGTTCGTCGAGAACTGAGAACTTTGTACCTGTTCTTCGCGAAGAGAAGATCGTGTAAAACGAACGTTAATGCAGAACACCATAATCGTTAATATGTTCATACATGTATTGTAATTTAAATAACAGTTTCGTAAAGCTGGGCGGTGATTGCTGTACCTTTCGATCACGTGATCGTCATTATAGCACCGCACCATACTCACACAACTATGATAAGTGTGAGTTATGTTCTAGAAAATTTTTCGTCTTCGTCGTCAAATTTTATCGAACTTTTTTTTAACAAAATGGAAGAAAGAAGGTAAACAAAAATGGAAGAAGTTAAGATTTACGATATTAACAGCATAGAGATTAACTCTTTTTCGTTTTAAATAATGATAAAAGATTTCTAATTTCGAACGATGTTTGAATGGACGATACACTAATTCTCTTTATTAAATGTTAATGTAAAAAAATAGATTATGGATTTTTAAAGGTCGTTATTGAAGTATTGAAGCTCAATAGCAAGTGGAATTTTCTTTGTACAAAGCGTATAAACTGTATCGATTTGCTTAGGCTCGCAGTTCGTTTGTAGAACGATTCTCACTGAAATTTTTCCATACTACCGGTTGTGAAAGTTGCGCACTGTACCGTAAGTAATAAACGTCGAAAAATTCGTTTGCAAAGCTTTTAGAGTAATTTAACTTCTTATCAATTGAAATAATAGTAACATTATCGCTCTTCTCACTTCCGCAATGATCATAATAAATTTCATAATAAATGCCAATATATCTGATGAGTCAATTTTGCCCGACTAAGAATTATAAATACACATCCACAGTGACAAACGGACAAAATGACTGATATAGACAACGTTTAATCGCAGATTACGTGAAAATCTGTTACAAGATACAGAATCGAATTTGATCCGCTCTTGGAATATAGCGCTGAAAAGTGAAACGTAAATTTATTATAAGACATAGTTGTAATTTTTGTTGTACAAAAATGTTCTAGCTATTTGTTCAGATCATCCTTGCAAAGTCCACGTAGTCTCAGAAAAAACGTTACGTAATATTTGAACCATACGCAAATGTACATCAAACTGCGAAAAGTATGGACGATGAACAAAGTGCGTTGATGACGAAAATGAGAGACTAAATAGACATGTTTAGCAGTGATTCTCAAATAATCAGTTACTAATATCCATATTTCTGAACACTATTTATAAGCACACTGAAAAAGCTCGCTGCCTTTTTATTTTTTTTTTTGAAAAACCAAATAATACCTACATTCTAGAAATGTTTACTTGCAAAATACTGGAACATAATGAAACAAAGCGAAATAACAAGTGTTTAAATGACAAACGCTGATGGGCGCGTTTAGTGGTGAGCGGCGGCTGTAATTAGTATTTCTCAATTTTAGCAACAATTAGCTTCACGTAAATTGAGAACGTGTGTCAATGCACTTCTTCACAGAATTCTTATGTTTCTAGGTGGTGGTTTTGCAAGGCTGTTTGACAAGAACAGATTGTATTCGTTTTAATATAAAAGTTACAGCAAACGGAAGAATAGATTATATTATATTATAGCTGATAGAGAACGTTCCTTAGCAATCGTTTGATCTGGTATAATTCCGTTACGTTAACTATGCAATGACATTTAAATGAGTTTTTTAGATTCTGACGAAGACTAATAAGAACTATAAGAAATTTCCATTGGATGTACCCAGTAAGCAATTTGTCTTGAATGAAATTTGTCGGCTAAGTCTGCTTCGACCAAATACATGTAAAACATGCTTGGTAGTGCACTTTGTGAGCAAATTTATGCGAATTTGGTGCCAAGGCTCTGCTGGAAGAAGACTCTACTCAATCTTTGGCACCAGACGCATGGCGTTGCTAAATCAATGGCAAATCTTTGCGGAACCTTATAGTGAAAAGTGTTGTTTGAAGAGGGCAGGTCGGTCGCATTCGTGTGGCAGATGTGGTAGTGTTGTGGCTTGGTTTGGATTTGGCATAGATTTGGCATAGATTTAGCATAGATTTGGCATAGATTTGGCATAGATTTGGCATGGATTTGGCCTGGATTTGGCAGGAGAAAGGCGTTGGTGCCAAATCCAGACTGGTTCGGAATTTGACAAAACGGTCAGATTCGTGTCAAATTCAGGACAAATTGCTTACTGGATAATAACTGATAATTAAAATAGTATTCCAAGTATATTATAACTTCTATCCTTGGTCAGGTATTCCATCGTTTCAAGCTAAGCGGAACATCTTATAAAATGCAAAGTATCTCTTTTCGTAGAATCTCAAAAAACGCAATACATTATCGCATTCTTATATCATTTTCAAATACAGTTATTATGCAACCTCCAGTACAGAAATTGAAATATTAAATCAAATCTTATGATAAGAAAAATATAGAACAATCGTGTAATAAAAAATATGAATCAAAATTTATTAAGAGAATTTGTATTAATTATCAATTGAATACGTACAATTTAGAAGGCCCGTAAAAATTAATTGCTTTGCAGTGTCTTTAGTATTGCGTTGCATACTGTCCGTATAAAGAAATTTTAGTTCCATTGAAATTTATGTAAGCACTTCTTGTTAGACAAGACATTTATTGTCAGTTCCTAGTATATAGTTATGTATGCAGTACCCGAGGCGCAATCGCACATATTTCATTTTATGTGTTCAGTTTTGTAATGTAAAATATGAAACGTGCTTGACTGTACTTAATCTAAGTGCGCTAAGCAAAAGATACATATGTGTGTATCCATATTTACTATTGTATCAATTAATATAAACTAATATACACAATACGAATAAAATATATGAATATCTTATTCCTGCTAATAGTTGTAATATCGCAGACCATCGATAACGTAGGGCTCGATGCTAAAATGGTACAAGAAATTTTCACTTGTACCTAGAAAATTGCATTGAGTGGCTGGCATGAACATTTACGTTACTTATCTAGGTACAGCATACATTCATACGATTATTAAAAGTGATTCCAATCAATAAACTGATTATTCTTGAATATATTTTACATGATTCAATGTTATTTGTATACTTTTCCCTAAGCCGGCACACACGTACCTATCATTTTACTGCGCTTCCAATCTGCAGTGGATCCTGTCTTAGCAGTGAATCGTCAGTTAATCAGAGAAAAGAAAATTTCTATACCGAACCTCGCTAATGGATCAAGCTACGGCCCGGAGGTGCGCAGAGAGTAAACTGTAAACAATTATAAATTTCTGTAAATAATTATAAAAATATAATAATAAATATAATATAATAAAATATAATATAATTATAAAATTCACATTTAGAAAATAAAAGATAGTTTGTAAAATTATATTTAAACAATTATTTATCAAAAATATTGATGAATATTGAACATTTAATTACCTAAGGTTAAGAATGATTATTTTCTAAATATTTTTAGTGAAATATTATGTAAATATTTCTTTTTCATTCCTAATAGAAAAGGCCGGTGGCTTCATCTCGTATTTAACAAACAGCTACACATCTCTGGGTAATACCATTTCTCTAGCGAAATCTGTACGGCCGAATACCGACATGTAGAATCGTTAAAGTCACGTGACTACCCATTTGATCCAGCCCCTTACAGATTGATGTCCCGCGCAACTCCCTAGCATGTCGGTTCCGCAAGATACGTTTCCATGTTTCCTCTACTCGAAGTTACGTATACACTTTTTTATTCATTGTTGTAACTTCAATTTCGACAAATTTCTTCTACCCTGTGGACAGCAACGTGCTTAAAATTTCAATTTATTCAAATTCCTTTAGTATATACTTTCCCGTACGTTTCAACTACTATGTGTAGGTGGTAATTTAAATTGCAAACGATTTCCATTTCAATCTCTAACAATACAACAATAAACGACAAGTAAATCAGTTAAAGCGTACGTCAATAATATGATTTTTGTACAAAAATTAAGTATTTGAAAATTGTCGTATCACACCGATTACAAGAGACACACGACATACAATGACATAAAACTTGATTACGAACACGATCGAGACAACTATGAAAGTTGATCGCATCACTTTCCAGTGATATGTATTGATATTTATTGTTCCATTGACTGTGTGTAAAGGTGTATATACACAAATGTTAAAATCGAAATAGAACGATTAACCTTAATATTACGACTACGAATTGAACGATTAATTAAAAAAAAATTCTCTATGGATATTCAAAAACATATATGCATTATTGTACTCAAATGTTTCATTACCAACGACAATACTCCTCAGATTAATTTTGGGACTCTATTCACCAATGGCTCTCAAGTAGTATAATAAAACGAACTCGCGATCTTCTTTGGAATCAAGTTTCGAACTACGCGTTCGCGACAGGTGTACGAACATGAAGATTACTATCGCGACAACGATAACGTTGCCGGTTGAGAAAACAATTCCGACGATGGTGTCTTTTGTATCGCGGAAACGAGTAGAATAAAGTGAAACGTGCACGACTCCATCGGTGGCAGGTTTGAAAGCGCAGAGAAGCGATCCAAGGCGAGAGAGAAGGACGAACGATCGCTAGTGACTTTTCATGGGTAGGAATTGTCTTGCCTGGGGGGATTTGGCGGTTGCCCCAAGATGGCGGACTCGGTTGGCGTGCGACAAGCACGAGCTGAAAAGTGCCGAGAACGCGAGAAGTTCGCGATTATGTGTTAAATCGGCAGCGTGAATTTCATACGCTGACAGCAGGAGGATCATCGACGAGGTGGACACGCTCGGATAACCTAGGTACGTGGGAAATCAGTGACACGAAACCGTTTTCTCTCGGTACGGGGTGAAAAGCCGCGCCTACTGCTATCGTGCGTTCACGATGTGTCGTGGGTGTGCGTGGAACTGGGTCCCTGTGCCCTTCTGTTTCACGTTTACGCGATCATTCGATCGCGCTGCCGACACGTCCGTCGAATAATCCGTTTCTCGACGAGGAGGGTAGCGGTCGTGTCGCAGAAATTCATAGTGGGGATATTGAGGTTGGCAGACGGAAAAATCGAACGGTCGAGTGGCACGGCTGACTTCGTCGCCTGGGTTATTATGTCGTGTATATCTGTTGCTTTTCGATTTCATAACAGAAACCACTGTCGACCGACCGTTCGCATAATTCTCCGATCATACGCGATTTTGGCTGAACTATTTTCCCGCCGTGCCTGCGAAAGATATCGCCGTGAATCCGTTCGAAGCGATCCCCCTGCATTCGTGTCCCCGACGGATCCATTCCCGAACCGTTCTAATTGGGTTCCGGCTCCCATTCGCGACGCCTGTTTTCGCCTTGTCACCGGTGATACTTCTACCCCTCTGATTCTACATCAAAACCGATGATTACCGCCTCCTTTGACGCATTGTCTCGACCCACCGAGTGCGTGAGTGTTCCACGGGTACGTGTGTATACGTGTGCGTCGCTACGTGAACCTTCGTGGTCGCCGTGTGCGCGCGCGCGCTTCCTGGCGTGCGCAACACACACGACCTGCATGCCGGTTCATCGTGTAAAATAGTCGTGACTCGAGAATCTCCTTGATATTTCTCCAGATATGCTCCTTTTTGTGGACACGTACGCGCGCGATCGTGCGAGAGACGACGCTTTAATTCTCCGTTCGCGTAGGCGTCTCTCCAGGCTAGTCTATTCGTACGAATCAATCCGTCCCGAATCGTAATGCTTCTCGAAATTCGCACGCAATTACTCCATGTCAAAAATTCACCGTTCCGCCGAGAGACAACGTCGGTAATACAGTGAATCGCTGCCTCCACCTGAGACGTTTCGCGAATTCGAATGCGATCTCGGTTGACGTATCCGCGCGGTTCACGCCTGTCTACTTCTCGGCATTGTTCGGGTTTAAACCGGCGTCGATTTAAAGGTTGTCCGACGAAATTCGCTTCGATTCCAAGCGGAACAAATACGCGTGTGACCAAATTCATCGAACTCTCGATGAAACCAAATATTAACGACAAGATCATTGTGTCATCTGTGTATGTATATTCGCTTAGTACAACACAGCATCAAACGTCCGTGTTACGAAAGGAAAACTTCTTGGACGATGTAATATTACGGATCGGTGTTGTTCGACTTCGCTGCGAATCGTTATCAGATATTTAATTCCGTTCGTTTCTTTTTCCGCGTGGCGCAGAATCCGCAGCTGGAATCCGGTCCTTTTCTTTTTTAGAACGGTTAGAAAGTTTCCGTGCGAATAGCGGTGGAAACGTCGTTAATGTGATACGCGGACGGGGTGGTTAGATGGCTCTGAGTGTGGGTCCAAAACTGGTTGACGCATTATTATCTGTCTATTATTCTTCCGTGTTCGAGCCGGCGTCGAATGGTTTCGTCGCAACGCGATAAATCTTATACTAGTGTTTGAATAGTGAATAAATATGGTAACTATGATAACGGAAAGGAAGAATTCTTGCGGTGGTTGTCCTCGATCGAGGAAGGTCGAACCCGATACTAATGGATTCATACGAACAGAATTTCCGCGGTAAGTTTCGTTTTATCCTCCCGTTTCTCCGCGTCTTTCGCGTGTAGGCGACAGAGACAGAAATTGTTTAGGCCCGTTTCAGGAGGTTACGTCATTTCACTATTTGATAATCTCCGTTCCAGGGTATGCGGAATAGATAGCCACCGCCAGAATACGTGTGTACGTCGACGGTTCTCTTTAAACACGTAGCTGGATAACTGTCGTCGAAAATGTCGGATTCTTCGGGTGTTCCGTCGGGTAAATCAGTTTCATTTGTAACAATTTCCCGGTCAAATTTGTCGGAAACGTAAGCTTTTAGTGTACATATAATATATTATAATAATATATTTATTATATTATATAATAATATATATATTGTTCTTTCGCATAGCTAACTCGATCGAAAGTAGATAAACATAATTTGAACAAATAAGAGTTTAAGCATCCTCAAAGCCGATTCATTTTTAACAACAACATATTCGTCGTGGCGTTGCAAACTATTCGTCGAGGCAAACCAGGCACTTGCGCAGCAAACTGTCGCAACGTCGTATTGTAAATTACACCGTTCATTGTCTATCTGGTTGAATCATCATATAGTAAATATAATAATAATAATAATCATCATCATCATATAATTGCTGGAGCAAATCAATTCGCACAAAAAACTGTACTTCTAGAAAACAATACAAAAGTCTGTCGATGAACGGGTTCGCTGAACCGTTACGTAAGTGTCCACTAAAAAAACTTGTAACGTGTAAACTTTATAATTTACAACGAACCACAACGTTGACGTTTCTGCAGCATTGCAATCGCACATTCCCATTATGGCTTCCGTATCGTGGAACACAGAGAATGTCGACTTATTGAAAGAACAAGATTTCGACGAAAATCGTTTCGAGTTTCATCGCAATTTCAGCCGAACGACATCATCATCCCGGCCATTGGCCTAATTAGTTATTCGGCCGTACCACCCCCCCCCCCCAAGTATTTCGTCGCGCGTATAAAACTATTCATCTGACGATCCTACGAGAAATTATTTTTCGATGCCGTGCCGCAGCGGCGAAAAAAAATTCTCCGACAAAGGAGAAAAATTGGTTTAATTGGTCGGACGATTCCTGGGGCTCTCTCTCGAGCGGCGAGTTTTTCGTTCTTCTTTTCCGATTTAATGATACCGAAAACGCTCGCCGGAGCGCGGGCGGCTAAGACTCAATTTGATTCTTCGCCCGGAAGCTTTATCCGGAGTCGGTAAATCCGTGGCTACGTGATCAATACGAGACGCGGGTTCCTTGCTTCCGCGTTCGTCCGTTCCACGTAAAAGGGTTGCCCTCGCGACAACGGGGTCCCCGTTCGACTTACGCGAAACCTTTGAATTCCCTCCTCCTTCGTTTCACCGACGCTGAAAGCATTCCAAAGACACGCGATGGAACAATCGGCCGCGCTGCTGCTGCCATTATCTTTTCGTATTAGTGTGCCGCGGAGCCTCCATTATCCGAATTAACGCGTTCACCGACGCGAGAACTATCCGCGGAACTGGACCGCGAGCATTTGCCGCGCTTATGCGAGCAAAGTCCGAGCAGAATTAAACACTGATTTTTTTATCAGTTTGCAAAATTCATTTTTATTGTATTAGTTTCGAATAAACTGAATTTTATCGCGGTGTTTAGGATGCAATCGAGTTCAAATATCGTCCAACGCGATACTCGATAGGGTTGGACGCGTTCTTTTGCGTGTATCTACGTCTAAGAAATTAATTCTATAATTACTGTCGTTTATTAATTTTTTACTAGTTTGCAAAATTCATTTTTATTGTATTAGATTCGAATAAACTGAGTTTTATCGCGATGTTTAGGATGCAATCGAGTTCAAATATCGTCCAACGTGATACTCGATAGGGTTGGGCGCGTTCTTTTGCGTGTATCTACGTCTAAGAAATTAATTCTATAATTACTATCGTTTATTAATTTTTTACTAGTTTGCAAAATTCATTTTTATTGTATTAGATTTGAATAAACTGAATTTTATCGCGGTGTTTAGGATGCAATCGAGTTCAAATATCGTCCAACGCGATACTCGATAGGGTTGGGCGCGTTCTTTTGCGCGTATCTACGTCTAAGAAATTAATTCTATATTTACTATCGTTTATTAATTTTTTACTAGTTTGCAAAATTCATTCTTATCGGAATAGATTCGAAAAATCCGAGTTATGTTAGGATGTTCGGGACGGCCGGGGGTACGATTCAGCGTTAACGAAGCATAAATTGCTATACATATAAATCACGATCAGTCGTATACCTCGTGTGCGTTTATCTGCTCCCGTGCAACGAAAATATGCTTCGATCTTCGGCAACGTATCTCGCCGAGCACTATTTCATCGTAAGAGGCGTTCACCTTGATAGGTCGGTGGCATGATAGAACACAGGCTGCACTCATCGTAAACCCTGATAAACGACGGCGGATAAATCAGCCCGAGAATCGGCTGTCCGTGCACTAATTTATTTACCATAATCCCAAATATATTAGCCGATCGGCCGGAATCTTCTGCGCGATGCACGTTTCTGCGGGAATAATTAACGGGTGTTGCGAACGCCGGCCGTGCATTTTCGATGACCGTCGGTTATTCCAAGACATTCCCGGGAGCCCTGACGAAAAACAAATATGGACATTAATCTTAGGACGGATGTTTAAGGATCGCGTTACCATCGGCAGTAAAACAACACAATTGCGTATTTCGCGGAACATTTGTGTTATTTGTGTTCTCCATGTTTTCTTCACGAGACGAGGAAAAACAAAAAATGAAGCTCGCAGCAAGCTTCTTGAATAGTCTCTCTTCCCAGCGATTATGTTCGTCCTTACGAATAACTTTGCGAACTCCTACGTCGTTGGCTAACATAGTCACGACACGCTCGTATATTAATTAGGAATTTAGCTCGTCGATCGTTCGTAGAAGTCGCGCGAGCAAATATTAAAGTGAGCCACTCAAACGCGTGCTGCGTCTCCGATGAACGGTTTCCAAGTTAGGGTAACCGTGTCGATTACTGTGCCACCCCCTGGTCACCGTGGCCTTACCATCGTTTTACTTGTATACTTAAAGAAAGAATATTATAAAATGGAAGGTGTTATTGAATTTTTTTCAATGAAATTTCGTCGGTAACTTTCATAATCGAGAAACTGGACTAGGACACGGGGCTCGAACATTCTTTTTCATTGTTACGCGAGAAACGCGAAGCATCAAGATTTCGATGCCGGTTTTCTTCTTTTTTCTTTTTTATAATAAATAGATGACATCTCTGTTCTTGTTGGCAGAAATGAACGGGCATTGGTTTCGTTGAACAAATGAATGAATTGCAAAAAGGGGTTTTCAAGAGAAGCCTATGTCAACTGCAAAGTTCACGTATACCGATGTCGATACTGCAACATCGTTGACGTATTAACCGCATAGATCGAGGCTGAATATTCTTTACAAAGAGACACTAACAAGCTGGTACATGTACGTAGTGATTCAATTAAATTAAGCGAAATGGAACGGAAGATCCAAATGTGTTTGATCGCGGTAGCACTTCAATGAAAGTGGCATGTAGCTTGAAGTATCTTCAGGATGTAAACGGTTAATGCATTGGTACCAATGCGTACAGTGGGTAAAAAAAGTATTCGTCGAGTGGGACACGTTTTTCAAAACGGTGCAACTTCTTTCAAGCTGGACGACTAAGTTTTTACTGTACAATGATGGAAATACTTTGTTCACATTTCGCCGTGCACGTGCAACAAATCCTGTATTGGCTAAATAAATCACACACATCTGGTTTAAAGCATTAATAGGTAAATTAATAATTCATATGATGACGATTAAATGAATACATTTTTTTTGTTAATTTTGCTTTATGAAAGACAGATGATATTTAGAAACTTAATAGGCGTTATTGTTATGATAATAATAGATGTTATTGTTATAGTAACAATAATAATAATATCTGCAACAACTACGAACATCTCAAAATGATTCAAGTCATCTGGTCCAGTACCGAGAAAGTTCCACCGTTTTGAAAAGTGTCCGAATAACTTTTTGAACGCACTGTATTACGCGACGGCACACGGTCGATCCAATTGTCACTATGTATAGTAAGCTGAATCACGAACTACAGCAATTTACGCAGTCGGCGACGATATTTTCACATCAAATGAAATTTGCTAACCGCACAAGATTGGCGTCGTGTTTTGCTGTAGCACGTGTTTCGCTCTGAATTCGCGAGCAATCAGTTTAATCAACCAAACCGCAAACTATAATCGACAGGAAACTCTTTCTAATTATGGCTCTCTTAACACATGATGCGCGCGCGCGCTGGAAAGGTATTAATACCTTTTTAAAAAATTTAACTTTCTTCAATTAGAAAACCATTCAACATTTGCAAAACCGACGCAAGATTTTTATAACATGTATATAACCAGGATTTTTAGGATTTCACAGAGAGATTGAAAAAAATGAAATTAAACAAAATTATAATATATTATAATAATTATATTATAATAATTATATTATAATAATTATATTATAATAATTATAATATATTATTACATATATTATTATTATTATTATTATTTTATATATTATAATATCATATTTAATATCGCTCTTGCGCTTTTATTTCTGTGAACTATTTATTATTCCTATTCGAGACTGATTATTTTCTGTTAACACGTTCCGTGCCGAGCTTTTTTTACTCGAATCTTCACACTTTGATATTTTACTAAAACTTGATGTATTACGTGCAATTATTAATTCTCGTACACATAACAACGTAACAAAAACTTATCAACGCCCATTCTTGCGGTGGAAATTGATTCTTCGGTTCTAAATTTCTTGTAAACAATTTGTTCGGTTCACTAAGTAAACATGCAAGCGTGTACCATCGATGG